CTCATCACATGCACACATCTTAATTTGGTTATTTCCTGGTCTTCTAATTTGGTCTGTTCATTAAAACCAGAAATTCCAGGGACTCTGCAGTTGGGCACTGTGACCTGGTGCCAATGCTGCAGAGTCCATTATCTCTGTTTGGGTACACTGTTCATATTATGTAGCTTCAGGTAACAGTTTGGTACATGTCTTCAATTTCCCAGCCTGTGTGACTGATGGCTTCAGACACAGTGGGCCTTGAAGGAAACTTTAACACAAATGGGCTTTTATAAATCGAACAGGTTTTTATAATTCACCCTTGCCATTCCCCTAGACCATAGTTTTAATGCAATAGTATCTCCTGTAGCCTAGTAGCATTTCCCTCCTCACCCCCATCCCTCTATTGTTAGTCCCTCGCTCAGGCGATCTGTATTTCCCTATCAGCTTTGTCATCTTTTTTTTGGATTCCCAATCCTAAACATTTACTAATAAAAGTCAATCTGTTCTACTTTACCTACAAGCCAATTCCTAAAAGCAAACTTCTAAATATCATTTTCTAGACATTGCCTACCACTGGAGAATGCAGTGCTCCTGCCAGTCAGCTGATTGGTGGGATAGGGAGTCATTCTCTTGGGACAAGAACCCTCTTTGGCTGTCTGTGGCAGCCATTGCTTTTTAGCAGCTGTCAACTGCCCCTTGACAGTCTACCTTCTTTTCAGGCAGGGGAGAGGGCAAGCTGTCAATTAATGGGCTCCTCTCTAAGGGTGGGGGTGGTCCAGGGGGGAGCCCACTAGTACATCCAGGCTGGAGAGCTTAATTGGAAAGTTCTCCAGCTATGGAGCTGGAGGAACTTCCGTACAGTTCAGCTCCCAGGCTATTTTTCTACTGAAAGAAATTTATTTTGGTAGAAATACACATCTGCAAGCTGCCAATGGCAGAAAAGTGGCCTTGCATTCAGTCAGTCACTAAACCCTGATTAAAAGGGTAATGTGTGTATGTGCTAATCTGGGGACATTTTTGTTCTGAGACAAACACAGGCACGTCTTGTCCAGGACAAACGTAATGTTTGTTCCTAGCCTAGTAGGTTTAGTGTTCTATGTAAAGAAGCATGGCAAAGAAAGAAGGAACATTTTTTAACGGAAAGGCCGTGTGGAGGTTTGGCAAAGCTAGTTGGGTAATTTTGAATATGTAGTTTTTTATAAAAATTGGGGATAACTTTTTGTAAAACATGTTCCCAGTTTGGGTGAAAGAAAAGAGGCATGGAAAGAGGACACACCTATTTCAGAAGAGAGGCTTGTTGCACATTATATCCTGTCTGAACTTGAAGGTTCTGATAGTGTACATTCAGGTTCTGTCCTTTTCTGAGAGATACAGTAATAAGCTCAGCTGCTCATATTACCTATAAAGCATGCAAGATAAGTGTATAGCTAAGAGTGTTTCTCTCAGCTGAGGTGGCACTAACGAATGCATCACTGATTGCCCAGCATTTAAAGAAGTAACGTAATGTAGATATTGTTTGTTTGTGTCTAGCTGGACTAGCTGCACATAAGCACAAAAGATGCAATCAGTTTTATTATTCATTGATTCTGAAGCATAAAAGCAGCAGAATCTTAATGAAGTGCCTGGGGACAGATGAGCTTATCGCACCACAGTCAGTTACTTTTAAAGTTATCAGCTAAGGACACTCCTGGGGTCAGTGTATCCATTTCATTTCTCTGACTACAAAGATAAAAATGATTTATATGGGTTTTTCTGATATATATGTACGACTAGGGCCAGGGTCCTTAATACATTCAGTACCATATTAAACAGTAGTAGTACAAAATAACAATTTGCCAAGATGTATGTACTTAGTTTAGTGACAAGAAAGTAAGAAACTTCACTGTATACCCAAGCTGGTGGCCTGATTCCATTGCAAGCTTTTTCCATTCACTATAGTGCACCTGGAAATGGGCTGTTGGTAAGGATGATGATAATGTAAGCTGTCCCTCTGAGCATTAAAATATAGTATGCATGGAAGGAATCTACCCTCTAGTGGACGAAAAGTGAATTTCTTCCACTTTAGGATTTATGACATTATGTGGGTCTATTTTAGTCAAAGGGAGGTGAATACGGATTTCCCAAAAAATCAGTTGCTTAATTTTTCAATACTGAACATTTCCTTCAAGGTAAAAATATCAATTTCATAACTCTTCAACTGTGTTCAAAATGCCTATGATGAGACTAAATTTTACTCACATTTAAAAAAAAATCTGCTAGATAATTGAAGTTTCTCTGGTTTATATATTGGGAAGGATCTCACTGTATACAATTTGCAGTTTATCAGAAAGTAACTAAACATAGAAAATAATACACAAAATGGCAGTGGTTAAAGCTGACAAGGTTCTTTGGGTAAATCTGATATCTTTTATTAGACCAACTAAATAGGTTAGTGGTTAAAGCTGCACTCTTAAAGGGGAGGATATATACACTGTAAATAAGGACTAGCTTGACATTTGAGAGCATTGGCTAGATACATTTGACTAAATCGTATATTTAGGGGATTCTTAATTGAGCGAAAATTTGCAGTCAAAGAATTCAGAATTGAACTTGCAGAGAGGTTCATTAAATATTGGGAGGGTTGAGAATATGGTTATCAACTCCTTCATGACTTATTTGTGAGCTGCTGCATGTTACACATGGAACTAAGGAGCTATAAGCGTACAAGCTACTAGGGCTGTGCAAAGCTTCGGTCCCTGATTAGATTCAGCTGAGATTTGGCCCGATTCAGTGGCCAAATCTCCAAATCTGAACTGAATCAAGAGACTCTTAAATCTCTTTGAATTGAATTGGAACTCTCCAAATCCATTTGGAGAGATTTGGAAAGATTCAATGATTCAGACATAGATGCAGCTTTAAATGTTTTTTCTACATACCTCAAGGTACCAGGTGGCTCTTGAATGCTGAGGTGGTAGGGTAAATGGAGCGTCCCACAGAAGTGCGGGGTGCTCCTCAATGTGCTTGGCAGCAGACCTGGAAGTAAACCAGAAGCACTTCCGGGTCTGCCAGGAAGTGCATTGGGGTGCCCCCACCCCTGGCTCAGTGACCGGTGCCTCTTGGGTTTTGGGTGGCACCTGGGGTCCCCCTGTGGCTGATCGCCAAGCCAGGAGGGTGTGTGGGGGGGCCCCCCCCATGTGCTCGACAGTGGACCGGAAGTACTTCTGGTCCATTCTGGGTTTGCTGCTGAGCACATGGGGGGGTTCCCCTGCTCTCCTGTGGGATGCTCCATCTGCCCCAGCACTGCAGTGTTCACGAGCTGCACTGGGTACCTTGAGGTATGTAGAAAAAACATTTAAAGCTGTGTCTATGGCCGAAGTGCTGATTCGCTGAATTAGCATCTAATCTTCAGATTTGGATTCAGCCAAATTGAATTGGGGACAGTGATCTGAATCAACAATTACCGTCCCTGATTCAGGCAAAATCCGAATCAAATATGGCCTGTTTCACACACCCCTCTACAAGCTACCTTCATCACTGATCTGCTTATGGGGACAAAAACTGCCATTGTGGTGTTTCTGCTCTCCTCCCATGTAGATGAGCAAGGAAAGACAAAGACAGAACGAAGACATGGGCCAGTAAAGCTAAGGATCAGACTGATGCTAATAATTTCCTCCCTGCAACAAGGTCTCAACTTGGTATTCACTTGGAGAAGCACAGCTGCTCCCTATCTCTTGTCCAGGACTTGTGGCAGAGTCACAATCAAGCCTTTACCATTAATATTAGCAGCCTTTCATGAAGTGTAGGTTGTGGTTAATTGTATGTGACAGAAAGCTTGTCCATTCAATGCCTTGACTTAATCTGAAGAAAAGAATTTAAATGGTACATGAGGCCCACAGTGTTACAGAAAATGAATTCTTTATCTCTTTCAAGGAGATGAAAAAATCTTCTGTTTAATTTAGTCTACAACATTAAAAAACACCACAGATAGATAGATAAAATGTCTTACTATAAAACAGAATTTTCTTTAAGGCATTCCACACTTTGCCTGTAAAAATAGTAAGAGAATAGGTTTGGTAGTTGGTCATGGAGAATTGTGAAACTCAGAGTATAATGTCTTTACACACAAATCAGAATAAGAATTGTGTATGTAGATGCAAAGGAAAATATAGTATAGTGGTAAAGGAGGAAACAGTGTCAATGTTATATAATCAGGGCCTTATTCATCATAAACTAGCTATACAGCTGTAAAAGTTATGTCTCCTACAATATTATAACACTTTTCTTATTATTTATTAATACAGAAATATATTTCTTTGATCAGATGTACTACATTAAAAAGGTATTTCAAGTACTAATATAATTACACAATACACTAGAGTGCTAGACCATAAAGAAAGCATCATGTTCAAGTGGACTCAGTAATTTCTGATTTCTCATTCTGTTGTGCAATTGATTCACTAAATGGCCATTAGTAAGATGCCTAACCACCTAACCTTTCCATGCTTCTACTTCTCTATCTGTATAATCAGACTATAATGCTTTACCTACCTCCTGGGAGTACTATGAAAACTGAGTATATTAATGTTTGGACAGAGTTAATTGTATGATAAAATGTTATACTGGTTAGGTTTACAAGATTATCATCACTCTAAGCCAGTTAAGTTCTCATAATGCAAAGTTAATCATGAGAAGTGGTAGACACGTAAGTGTTATATTGTTTCACTGCTACAATTGGAAGACATCTTGTTCAGATTATCTGTTATAATCTGTTATAATTTTGGTCATTTTTTTTATGTTCATGGAGATGTTGTAATTCACCGTTTTCAAAATGTCTGGGGGAATATGTCTTGTAGGGTGTCAGATGCTCTATACTTGTTCCTCATTTTTAGCTGTGTAGCAGATGTTCTGATGCATTAAAGAAAATCTGTCTGCACAGCATCTTTCAGTTAGTGACCATCTACCCAGAATCCAGGATGACCACATTTTATCTTTTCCTGGAAAGCATTTCATAGCTTGTTTTATTTCCTATCCATGTGCTTTAGGTTACCATGGCCTCTACTGCGAAGAGGAGTATAATGAATGCCTTTCTGCACCCTGCCAGAATGGTGCCACTTGCAGAGATCTTGTCAATAGCTATGAATGTGTATGTCTTGCTGAATATGAAGGTAAAATCCCTTTTTTGCCCCTCGTAATGTAAGTATTGCCTACCGCATATACTTTATAAACAGTGTTCTGTAATGAATAGGGATACATGGCCAAATTAAGTTTTAATATCTCCCTATATACAGCAAAAAAATAAATTTTAAGTAGGCCCTGATCCCCAACAGTTACTCAGGTGAGTAATTCTTATTTACATTAGTAGACACACTAGAGTCAGTAGGATTACTCATTTGGACAAAATTTACCTATGTAAGTGTTACTGATTGAGGTCAGAAATTTTGAGAGATACTAGGTCAGATGTGTCAAACACTGCCTGCAGGCTAAATCCAGCTGGTGGAGCTATTTGATTCAGCCTATGAGTTGCTGGACACACCCCATATGCCTATAGGTGGCAATTTAGGACTTTGCTGTTGCGTGCTTGCAGATATAAAAAAAACCCTGGTGCTATATTTTAAATTTGGTGCATTCTTGCACCAAGCTGTGTGCAGGCTCAGAAAAAGAAGCATGTTACTTCAATTTGGCTCTGGTGTCTGTAAAGATCAGGTGGTTTAGTGTGGCTTTGTTGGCACTTTCAACTAATAGCTGATTGAATCAGCTTTAGCTAAAAGCACCAAAAAGTCCCGCTGAAGTGCCTGATCTTTATAGATGCTGCAGAGTTTTTCCATGCTGCTTCTTTCAGTAAAGCTCAGGGGGCTTGGGGTTTTTTTTTGGCATCTGCAAGCACCAAAATGGCCATGGCTCATGGGTGTTGAGCACCCAGTAATTTTTCTTTCATGGATGCTTGAACACTGGATCACCCACAGAGACTCACCTATGCATGCAACAACCCCTGGCCTATGCACTGCATGTGGGTATATGGGCTGAATCTAGGCATCACAGGGGGTTGGTCCAGACTCGCATAACATATAACCTGTGCCCTGGACACTCTGTACCGTGTGCAGTGACAGGTTCAGCCCATGTGCTGCCCACAATGTGCATCTGTGCTGGCCCTGGGGGCCATGTGCACAGTGAGCCACAGGTCCAGCACATGCTGCACATAGCACAGGGGATTGGCATAGGGCACACACTCCATGCAGTGCCCTCTTGACCCCAGAATGAGGGCATAGGGTCAGTCAGTGGGGTGTCCCATGAAGCATATACCCTTGCTAGCCCCATGCTGCATGCAGCTGGTATGGCTGATCCAGCTTCACATGCTGCATGCAATATGAGCTGGGCACAGGGCTCACTATGCACACAGCCCCCAGGGCTGGCACAGGGCACATGCTTCCTGCAGCATGTGGGCTAGGCCCAGCACTGCAGATGGCATAGAGGGTCCAGGGTGCAGCCTGCATGCGGTGCCCTGGACCGACCCCTTGTGCTACCTGCAGCACTGGGTCCAGCTTGTGCATTGTGGTCGAATGCATGATGCCTGCTGGCCATGGGGGCTGGTGCATGCTGCATGTGGGCCAGACCTGGTGCTGCAGTTGCTTCAGAGGGGTCAGGCCTGGTCTGGCCAGCAGACCAGCTCAGGAATGCTCATCCAGCTTGTGGGTCATACGAGTTTGACCCCTGTACTAGATTTTTCTTTAAAGAGATGATACTAAGGAGGTTTTTGGTTATAGTTTGAATCGGTTTAGTTACTTGGAGTGATGAAGGACATTGGAGAACTTTACAGATCCCTGTTGATTTTTTTCCAGTGTAATGAGTTAAAAGCAGAATTACAAAAGATCACATTGGAACACATTAGCAATATTTTTCAATGTGGAAATAATAAACAAGGAAGCAGTTTTCTGGACGTTTAATTGCAACTTGTAAAATTCAGAAATAACAACTCAGTGAATGCCCTTCCATGTTGACTAGGACTGACACCATACACACTTCAACAGATTTTGATTTCATATAACATTTCCTAGTCATTTTATAAAATAAAGGAAGAAAATCACAAGTTAAGATTTTGTCTATCCAGAATATTTCATCCCAGGGTAGATTTATTTCATTCCACTAGGAAGAGTAAAACATTTAGGGTTTCTATCAACATGCATTTTCTTGCTCTGTTGTGTGTACCATTGTGGGGATTGTGCCTCAGCCCTTTTTTCCATCTATCTTGCTATGATTTTGATTTTCATCCATGAAACCACCTTTCTGGAATTGGAGTTGAGTATCAAATGGATGATGAGCTTTTCAAGCTGTGGTGACTTCACAGCAAAACAAAAGTTACCGAGAGTGGCATCACCAACCTTCAGTACACTGACGACTGTTATCTTTGCGCACACAGACTGATTTGCAGGCTACCCTTGATCTTTTCTCAGTGTCTGTCACAGCCTTAAACTCTCTCTTAACATTGGGAAGAACAAGGTTCTCTATCAGCTTGCCCCAGCACAAGCTTCCCTCCTCCCGCCGCCAATTACCATTGGTGGAGAACCCCTGGAAAACATTGAGCATTTCCGATACCTTGGCAGTCACCTCTCCCAGTCAGTCCCAGTAAGACCCAGTAAGTCTTGATGTAGAAATCAAACATAGGATTCACTGTGCCAGCATATCCTTTGGAAACCTACTTTGCCATGTTTTTGCTGACTGAGATCCAGAGATGGAAATTAAGATCCTGGTCTACAATGCAGTGGTTATCCCCATGATCCTTTATGGGTGTGAGACATGGGTGACATATCAAAGCCATCTTAAGTGCCTGGAATGGTTCCATCAACATTGCCTCAGGAAGATCCTTCACATTAGATGGGAAAACCATTGCACCAATGCCAGCATCCATTCTGCAGCTAACATAACCAGGATTGAGGCAAAGATCATGAAACATCAACTCCACTGGGCTGGTCACTGTGTGCAGATGGCTGATACTTGTCTCCTGAAGCAAGTACTCTTTTCTCAATTTAGTCATGGTGAGAGGACCTGTGGAGGACAGAGGAAGCACTACAAGGACACCCTGAAAGCATACCTTTAGAAGGGTGGCAACAACCCTACAAATTGGGAAGTGCTAGCTGGTAACAGGTCTCAATGGCGCTGTGCCATACATCAAGCTATAGCCCACTTCAGAGAGAACTATCTTGCAGAGAAATGGCAGAGGAGGAAGGAAAGTGCACAACATCCTGGCCAACCATTGTGCCTGCCTCCCCCCACCCCATGCTCCCTGGCAGCATTTTTCATATCTGTGGGAAAACTTGCAGAGCACAGTTGGACTTCTCAGCCACCTTAAAATTCACTAGTAATCCCCTCCGGCAGACATCATCCTTGTATCAAGGGATAGCCAATGTGATGTGTACCATACTCTCTATGGTTTTGTTTGTTTTAAAGGCTGAGATGCAGTTTTGTTTTTGCACTGCTTTTTGAGTCATACTGTGATAAAGTTCTGAAATTAATTTATAAATAATTACACAGAGCAGTGGTATTTTAGTAACATGTGACTCCTTATTTCTGTTGACTGAAACTCAGTTGGCTGCTGCTTGTGACTGAGTTTTTATTTCACACTGGTGTGTGCTGTCTTTGCCAGTGTGTCAAGAATTCATCATTCTAGAGGTTTAAAGTGGGAGACAGACCTGTAGCTTTTTACCAACAGCAGAAACAGTAGTGTTTTCTCATATTTTGGTTGAGATTTCATGTTGTTAACTCAACCTGAATATTTAACAAAAAGTAGAGTGTGTTTAACCTCTGAAATTCCAGGAAGTTAATTTTGCTTCAGCTTTTTATATGGGACCCAGTCTTATAAACACCCTTTACTAGACATTGTATTTTCTACTGCAAGTTGATTCTGAGAGTGGAATAGATCCTGGCTCTATGTTGTTTTGTGTGTTAGCTATTCATCTAAACCAGGATGGCCTCCTTGGGCCAGATCTGGACCATTGCAGGACTCCTCATGGCCCAGATCCAGACCCACCTCTGGTGATGGGGCAAGTGGCGGTGGTGTTAACTCCAGTGCTGTGTTGGCTGAGGGAACCATAGGGGTTAATGCCACATCTGCTCACCTTGCTGCTGAATTCCTGGCCCCTCCAGGAGCTCCATTGGCTGTATTTTTGACACACTTCATCTATACCACTGCATAGAGAGTATAAAATGTTATTACTAGGGCTGTGTAAAAAGGCACTGTTCCATTTTGACTTGAGTTTCGAGGTTTTGATGGAACAGTGTTTCATTTAGAATTTCATTTTGATTCAAAACTGCTGTTCCGTTCCATTCTGTTTCGATGCTGTTTTGATGTTTTGCTCATATGCTATAATGGGGAAGCTTGAAACAGCCTCTCTCATCTGGCAAGCAGATGGGGGCCCACAACCCTGGGAGGGCTGTGGGGGCTGTGCCAGTCCTCCTGAGGCTTCAGCCCCCGATCTGCCTGTCAGATGAGGGAGGGAAGCCGGGTGCTGCTGCCTGGGACCGGGGAGCTAGGGAAGGGAACTGAGCCTGATCGCTGAGCTGAATTCCCCTCCCCAGTGCTAGGATCGGGCTGAGGAAAGGAACTCAGTTCAGCCAGGCTGAGTTCCTTTCCCCAGCCCAATCGTAGCCCTGGGGAAGGGAACTCAGCTCAGCTGGGCTGAGTTGCCTTCCCCAGTGCAATTGTAGGGCTGGGGAGGGGAACTGAATGGTTGGGCTCAGTTCTCTCCCAGCCTGATCACAGCACTGGGGAGAGGAACTGAGTGATAAGGGCTCAGTTCCCTTTCCCTGTGCTGTGATTGGCTACCCTCAGCCTGGCTGTGGGAGGTGGGGAGAGCCAGGGTTGTGCTCCTGGCTGAGCCACATGGGGCTGTGGAGTCGCTGGAAGCTCAGCCCTGGTTCTCCCCTATCTCCCACATGCTGGCTGCTTCAAAACTTGAAACGTTTCAAAACTTTTGAAACATTTTGACTAGCCTCCTTTTGTTTTGAGGCTGTTTTGAAACCCTTTGTTTTGATTTGATTTCGCTGTTTTGAACTTGAAATGAGTCAAAACGGTGTTGAATCAAAACAGCCGGCGAAATTTTGCACAGCCCTAATTATTACCCTGTTTTAATAGCATTTAATGTCCTCTTTACATTGATATGTGTAACTGAAT